ACACCTAGCCCTAGTCCACCTGGCAAATTCCAGCAAGGAATGGGACTTGCCTGAGGCCACACAATGAGGCGTACCTCCCTGTGGACCACCCCTGGGAGGCACCCAGGGGAGGGGCCCGCCAGTGAGGAGAGGAGAGGAGAGGCAGCGCCAGGGCACTGCACCTGCTCCCAGGGGACCGCCCACCTCCCAGTTTGCATTTCTGGGTGGTGGAGGGCCCGGCCCAAGGGCAGCAGGAGCCAGGAAGCAGAAAGCCTTGATCTTCTCACAGAGAGCTCATGAGGGCTCACCATGACCACGGTCACTGCCTCCCAGGCTGTGCCCCAGAAAGCAGCTGAGGGTCAGAGAGGGCGGGCAGCTTGCTCAGGACCACACTGTGGGAGAGCCACGCAGAGCGTCCCCATGGCCAGGCAAGGCCCACGGAGGTGGCCCTGACCAGTCTGCATCCTCCTGGAGCCCTTGCAAGTCAGACTCTTGCCAACCGCCTGTCCCTCCTGGCTGCAGCCTGGGGTCACAGGAGGCCCCAGCCCGGCCTCGGCACCTTCTTCTCTCCCAGACCCCGCTGGCATGCTGCTGCCCGGCCCCCAGGCCACCTGGTGCTACCGACTCTCCCCGACCCCCGTGGCTCTGTGGTAGTCACTGCTGGTGGCTGTTTGCTGAGCACCTGCTCCACGGGAGGGACTGGGGCAAAGCCTGGGACAAGACTCTCGGCCAAGCCCTGGCCCTGGGGGTGCGCCCAGCCCCACTGCTTGTGGCAACAAAACTGGGGACTTGGATGTCCTCCCACAGGAGTGGCCCCAGTGCTGGCTGTGGAGAGGCCCCTCCCTGAGCCAGGCAAGTCACCTCCCCCTTGGAGACGTTTCCTCTTCCGTGAACTACAGCAGTCACAGCTCTGGGATCTCAGGGTCGGGGCTGGATAGGGCCTGCAGCCACCAGGCTGACTGGACAACCTTTCAGCCCGCTGCAGATCTACGTCAGTGACAGGGAGGGAGGTCCGTGACGTCAGGTGGACAAGTGCCGCTGCAAGACCACATGATCTCCCTGCCTCCTTTTTAAGAAAAGACGAGGTTTTGGTGATGTGCACAGAAAAGTCTGCGAAAAAGATGCCCCCCAAACATTGGTATTTTTCATTTCTTTTTCTCCTTTATTTTTTCTTAAATTTCCACAACGAACGCACTCCTAGGGAAGGCGGGGGGAGAAGCACAAAATCCACTCCTGCAAAAGACATGGCTCCTGCCCACAGGAAGCTGACGGCCTGACGGATTCCTCTGTGCATGCCTGCCTCTCTTTCAGTAGAACCCCAGTCTTCCCAAGGGAAGGCAGGGAAGGATTTATCAGCCTTGCCAGCCCCAACACTTGCCCATTCAAACGGCCAAATGGACAAGAAACTGAAAGGGCAGAGGCCCTTGACGCCTCTGTCCAGCCTCGGGCCAACACAGAGCAGTCTGCAGGCAGGAAGCCCGCACGCAGGTCGGGGTC